CGAAAATGGGAAAGCCCCCCCCCCCCCCCCCTTTTTTTTTTTTTTTTTCCCCCCCCCCCCCCCCCCCCCCCCCCCGCAGCCCCGAAAGCAATTTTTTCGGGCAAAAATCTCATAACTAGGTTAGAAATTTGGGCAATCTCAGGTATCTCTCCCCCCTCGGACGTAAACCTGGCTCCGCCACTGATCATCATCATCATCATCAGCAGCAGCAATATCATTAGCAGCAAGGGCTTTAAGGCAACAATGAGCCCTCTGGTAAAGGTACAGGGCAGTATAAAGCTACAAGTTACTGAATATAACTTACCATAAATGGACCACCATTATTTGTGGACATTGTTTCAGATTCACTTGAACCAAAAGAACCAAAACTTCCGTCAGGATCAGAAAATCCAGTTGCAAAACTTTCAGCGCCAATAGACGGTCTTCTGTGTGAAACTGGGGCTGTTTTATTGCAGTAGTAATTCCTTATTTCATCTTCTATCATTTGAATCTGACCATGCATCAAATCAAGATCACTAGGTACAGCTCCCTGTAAAACATCGATAAATCATTGTAAAAGCTATCAAGGCTAAAAACAAAATTGGGAATTTATAAGGGAATTTTTATATCTATACTAGACGGATATGTTTCATAATATATATATATATCTGTATATACGTCATTGTTTTTTCATTGTGTCACGACGCTAGCGACCCAGAACAGTTTACAGAAATCATAATACATAATAATAATATGTATGAGCCTTTGATTAAATGTGTGAATCATATTTTTTTCAATAGATTAAATATCATGATGCACATGGATTCTTTAAATGTCTTTTGTTGATATATTTATGTCGTAAGCATCCGCATTAAAGACACGGTTAATGCCGTCATTGAACTAGAAATTCCCATTTTGTGTTCTATAGGGGCTGATTCAAAATGCTTGAATACACCTTTACTATACATATTCTAAACCTAGTGCCATACAGTTCGTTTTTCACCCTGAAAGTCAAATCTGTGCCGAGTGAATTATTAGATCCTCGATACTATGGCATTGCTATAATGATTTATTATTATGATAAAGTAAATAGTAATGGATGTTCAATCTCCATTCCTAATCAGTGGCTCAACATATGAGTGAAGGCCCGTGAACTGGGGATGGGTTCCCTTAGAGGTGGGGTACCGTGGACTTGGCTCAACCAGTCCCATGGTATTTGAGCCACTGTTCCTAATTCCGCTGTATAAACACTTGTTCATGGAAGAGCTCTTGTCAGTGAGTTAAATAAATATCAGTACCTTCTTAAAATCATTTAAGGTCTCTACCCAGAAAAAAATAATTTCATTGACAATTACTAAATAAAATATGTCAATTATCAAACGAGTCAATAAGTGGTTTATTTTCCTTACTTCCTTCTTCATGCCCCATATAAATATCGTTAACTGTTATGTCATTATCTTATGAATATTATCAGTGCAATCAATGAGGAAGATGTGGTAAGCGTAGGGGATTTATGAGGTTTCTCATAACATAATATCCACTCGACACGTTGGTGGCCTACATGGTTCTGAAAAGATTGCTGTGATATGACTATGTCCACTTGTCGGCAGGTTTTCGATTCGATGTCTTAAAGAAAGTAAAAAATCTTACACTGGCTAATCCTTCAATATAGCCTCTCCACAATTCTCGTTCTGAATATTTCTTTGCCTGAAAACATGTTAAATAATGCATTATGAGGATTCAGTCAATCTGTCAATCCAGTAACATGGTGCCCCTGGCGTATTTAGGTGGTAAATTTTGAGCCATTATTGCGATCGAGTCCTGAAGCTTATTGTTATAGCGTTTGTATTGTCATACTCTCATCTAAAATCTGTGCAGAGCACATTGTTTATAACTGGATTATGGAAGAATCAATGGAAATCTACAGTATTCTCAAGATCCTTCGACAGCAATAGAGATTTTAAATCTGAGTACGAGACCCCAGGTGGGGAGAATAAGACCTTGATCAACGAGCACTTAAAATAAGTCTTTCTGGTTTATTTTGCAGGCCTTGCTGTTTAGTAAAAAGGATCCGACTAAATGTTTGCGGTGTGTTCATGCCATCCGTATCAAATATAAATTTGCGTTGATTGATTCATTCATGACTGACAGTTTGATGAACTTGATGGTTTCCGGAATATTTAAAGGTATGAATGAGGCAATGACAAACTTACTTTAAAATTGTTTTGGTGCCTTGATGTTCGAAGTTCAAATCTGAAACTTTCCCTTTTAGGATCGCATTCACCAAGAATAAATTTAGTATCTCTGTTTACTGGAAGTGAACCAACAAGCTGTAAGAGGCATCAATATGGACATTTATCAGAATGTAGCGAAACAGTTCAGACAAACTAAGTTCTCAGTGCAAAATAAGTACATTTTCATTTATAGACTACATCTGACAAACAATAACATAGCTGTGCGGAAAAATCAGTATTTTCCACTTCATATTAAAATAACGACAAAGCTATATAATTTTTAAGAGATAATCCACGTGAATTTAACAATAGTTGCAGCAAATAGAAAAAGAATAATATCATCTTCCAAGCCGTTAATGAAATTATCAAAACTTAAAGTATTTGAGAAAAGGGCAGAAGGTGACTGCAAGCCTACAACCAAAATGCAGAAAAACAACTAACAAAAAACAAAAACACATGACAATATATCCTTCAAATAGCAAACAAGAAATATTCCTCCTTCCTCTACTGATCTTTAGTTCTTGAGATGAATTACCAATTATTGAGAAATTCGACTAATTTGAAACATATTTTTATGTACATTGATTTGTGTTTGAAACACGTCGATATAATTTTATACTTGTTTGCACTCGAAAGAGTTTGAAAAGATAAGGTGCATTCTCGAACAGAACACCAGACATTATCTAGAGTTGCAAGCCAAGCATTGTCTCACTGTTACACTATCAATCTGTTTAAATTCACATCTACATCTAGCTTTTTTCAATTTACTACCCAAGCCACCCCCATCATAACTTAATATGCTTCATTGCTTATTTTAATGACCTAGAACATTTGTGGAATAACAATTTCGTCAGTAGATCTGAACTTTAATTAGAACAGTCTAGTATTGCACCAATGTTTACTTTGCGTTACTTTTGCTACTAGTTCATCAAAAAAACCGATGATGGAAGCTTAAATGAACCTAATAAAGGTATACTCACATTATCCTGCACTGTTTCTTTGGATTTGAAAATATACAGATTCTGATCTTTTAACACCAACCAGTAAATTCTCCATTTATTATCCTACAATAAGAATATACAGTTGAAACTATCTCCCTGAATAATGTTATTTTTGATATACATGTATATTACCCGTGTCATATAAATATCAACCTTCAAAAGCATGACAAGCATCCATGCCGTTGACAGGTTGCATATACTACTATATTTAGAAACAGTTTTGATGTAACTTTTCAGCATTATCATAATGGCGCATAGATCTAAAACTAACTCAAGCACGTCCAATTTATTCTTTTCTGGACCTCAATGTAAACCTAGGGCATGCCCGTCAAAACCCGAACCATAAAAAGCAAATAGAAGGTGGAAATACAAGAATGGGGCGCTGGGAGAAGGGATGTTATTTCGTGGCAAGGAATTTGCACTCACATTCTCTCTTAAATATCCATAGAGTAGAGGAGCTAGAACAGGTTTAGGAATCATCATGCATTAAATCTTAAGCGTACAATAAAAAAGATAACGTATGGTCCAATCAGTCAGCTTCCCTCATACTGCTTTTAGTTCTAAGAGCATCGTTAATATGGAATTTTCTGAAAACAGTCATTTGACATGTACTAAGAGATGTCCATGTATAAAGGGAGACATATGGTTGCAACACGAGGAGATGATCAAGATGAACAACATGTCAGCAGCTAATAAACAATACTGACAACTGACAGAACGAACCTTACTGCTTTATCCAAACAAGTCGTAACAGCTATAAGAATAATAATAGATCCTCAAATGTACATAAATATCCTGATTTTCCAGTAACCGGTAGGTTATTGGCACCCGATATCTAAGTACACGATATCCTTAGTAAAACAGTGACAATATACACAGTTGAGAGCACCAGCAAATATGTACCGATCTCAAAATAAAAGACCCCAGGCAAGATACCTGTGCTAAACCAGTGCGACACGGCAATAAATTTTGAAAAAAGTAGTCGTTTTCTTGACATAATTTATGAAGAGATTTAAAATCCGGTCTTAAAATCATCAACTTTAGGCAACAAAAATTATTATATGACGTTTATTTGGAAATTAACTGAAATAGTGAACGGTATTTAAGAACGACGACCTAGTAACACCACCACAACAATCAATAATGGGTCGAAATGTCTTTAAAATGTTAGGCATTGTTAGTAGTGATGGTTTAGGTTTACAATTTTGTCTTCCTTCAAGCTTACATTTTGATCAAGTGAACCGTTCGTGCGAAGCTCCTTCCTATTTTTGGTTTTTGATAGTCGTTAGCATGGAACATAATCTTGTTATGCCTGATAATTATTAATGGAAGCGCTTCTTTTTGATCAAAAAGAATGGTCATTTCCCAGACTTGCAGAGTAATATACATGTATTGTAGTGTATTTTGAGATTTAAAGTCAAATATTACAAATCTGTCACTTACATCTTGGCTGACTTGTCTGGTCAGGTATAAATTGATTTGATTTTTATCTCATGATGTTGACCTATAGTAAGGGCGAAGCAGATCATGCTTACTCTTTTCAAAACAACTGATGGTACTTCTCTTTGGAGTAGTCCACTACTTTACTGCTTTTACTCTCGATTTTGCCATACTTTCAATTTGATTTTGGATCCACGGAATTATCTTACTTGTACGGATTTTATTGAGTTGGCAGATCTCCTTCTCAAATTTGACTTTTATATATTACAAATTGACAGAAGCATATAATGGGAAGCTTAATACATAATGTTCCAGAAGCAAAGCAGAAAAGAACGAGGTGCAGTTTCTCTAGAAACGTCAACCAAGTCGTTTTAAAAAAGCGACCTATTTTTAATATATATCTTGTCATTTAATTTATCATATATATTACCATGGCGTTAAAACACTATGTTGACATGACATCTTGAAATATTGCTGTTGCTGTATATAATATTCTTTTGCCTTCATGCCAGTTATTATTGTGGTCAAGCTCACCCTTACAGAATATCCGATAGTTGTATGGAACTGGATTTGTTAACGGGGCATTTAACAATAACATTATGCTGGTGTCAATGGCAGAGGGGGTGGGGTGGGCATGTCTTATCGTTGAGTTCTTAAAAGCCTAGTTACGTGAGCCCAACATATGCATTTAAACTCCAGTAGTTGGTGCCAATTCATTTACAAGATGCATCACGAGATCGCAAGAATATTGATTTAAATTAGAAACTCTCATGTACCAATGTTGAAAGGAACTTAAAAGGTGCTCTGTTAATAGTAAATCGAGGACCTGATAAATGTGCTATAAATAACGAAAATATATTTTGGGTTCTTGTAGATGGTGCCGATTCTGCTCTATGTTACGGTTTGTTTTGCTTAAGGGATAAGGATCCCATTAACAAAATAAACCTTACGATCAATTTTCTTGCAAGTGTGGTATTTCGCAATGTAAAATTCCACAACTATACAATTCTTCTAGGTTTACAGTGAACAGGGCCATGGACCCACGTGATACTGGGTGTATTAAAGCTAACTGAACAGGTGTAATAGTACTTGCATTGTACATATTGAAGTTGTTGAAGCAAAATCAGTCGCAGAAAATTTTTTATATGCAAATCTAACATGATTTTATTGAATATTTTAAAAATATATAACGTCATTGAAATGAACTTTAAGACTTTTAAAAATTGAAATTGAATTTTTGAAATCCTCAATCTAGTGACGAAAAAGGAAGTGTTTATATTTTATCTATGAGAGCGTACATCCTAGCCGGATATAACCGCCCAAATGATTGTATTGAACTATCAAAGCAAGTTATGAATTTGCGTAATTCGATTGTCGTTTTTATTTCTTTAAAAAAAATTATTTAGAAACGAACATCAATGTAGACATCAAAATTAATCCCTTCATATTTAAAGGGTTCGCCATTCGTTTGACCTTAGTCTCAGAAATGGGATTTTTTCACCGTCAGATTTGAGACTTCAAATGCATGTGTTATGGATAAGTATATGCGCTAGAAAGTTAAAAAAAGACTCGAGACTGCCATATTTAGGAAAAACATGATAATGAGAAAGTTTGAGGCATTTTTGAAGAAATTATGCGATTATGCGAAATTTATGCGTACATTTCTAGTAATTCTGAAGACTATTTAAATATTTTCAAGATCCAAATCAACTTGGATGCCACCTATCAAGTTCTTATACTCTGAATATAATGATTATCCTCCTGAATATAAATTGTAAATTTTGCTTGAAGTACACTTTGAACTAAAATATTTGATACAAATATATACCTATTGATTATATTGTTGCCCAATCTTTTCAAACTGTCATAATTACGCCCTAGGTGATATGATGCCGATCTATTTCATTGAAAAGAACGTTAAATATTATTCTTTTTGTGTAGGCGAATAACCCCGAGACACAAATAAATAAAGTTATGTGATCCTTATATAGGTCACTATAGTAAATATCAATATAAGCAATGTGTTATACAGTAAATGTACAATTAAATTTTTTAAAACATCACAAGTTTATGTTTGCATAAATAAGACTTGATAAGAATTAGTGGCGTTTATAAAGGGGGGGAGGGGAGGGGGGGGGGGGGGCGAGGGGGGAAATATTTAGGCCGGCCCAATTTTTATCATTGAAGAATGTGGATATCAAATGTCGCCAAAAATGTTGCTGACTCAAGGATTTGTTTAAGCAGACGATTATGCTTCCTTTATGCAGACAGTCATGCGAAATATGGATCAAAGTTCACATTCAAGAAACTTTGTGAAATATTGACATAACCTAATTAAAAATGATATATGATAAAAGAATACACATGAAATAGCAGGTATTTGTTAAAGTTTCAAAGTCGAACTATTTATAATATTAATCCAAACTTTGAATTTAAATCCTCACGTTTGAATGTAATACAAGTACATTATTTTTACAATTGAATAGACATGACATCAATGCAAGAGTAGGCTATAAGTCAATGCTATCAATATAATCATATTGAACATTATATTATAAAGACTTATTGCATTCACCAACTCGAGTAATTGCATATTTGGAATTTATATTGTGATAAAATGATTTTATTTCTGACGAAGGAATTTCATATGAAGGTCACAAGAAGAGTGTAGGGAATTTTTTGTCAATTGCTTCACAGGCGTAGTGAGCCCCAAAAATTATAAAATTGTCAACTGCCAAATCCTGATAGATTCCTCAGGAATCCATATTCCATAAAAAAAAACGTTACGTTTATCTATTGGAAATTCGTTCCTATACATTCAGTTAGCGAAAAAAAAAATTACAAGGCAGATAAGGTGAATTACAGGGACGCGTGTGCCATTTTAGGGGGTTGATTTTGTCTCGAATATATGTATATAGTCTTCAGAGGTAGGCCTACAAAAAATACTTCAAACTAGGAATTTTACTCACTATTTTATATATGTCTTTTCTATATTTCTATATATCATTGAGTATCTTAAAATGACAAGTCGTCATTTTAACTTTTAAACGGGGATAAACATGAACACACATGGATTTGAAGATTCATATAGAAGTTACTATTACTGATTGGCTTAGCTACAAAAAAATCTGATAGAAAAATTAAAAACCTTAAATATCCCCGATATACGTAGAAAGGTTTGAAACCCTTGGCGTAAGCCAATCATGTTGTCTATGTGTATACCGACCTCGTATGGACTTACGCAATAACAATATTGAATAGATCCTTTCTTCCTGGTTGAAAATTCTTTCACAAAATAAACGAGCCAGTAAAGTGCAAAAGTTCAGGAATACCTTTTTACACAAAAAATATCAAACGGACTCTTCTTATTCACATATATTTCTTACTAATTCTGGTTTCCGTGAACTACACCTTCGACTTAACAAAACTGGTGACATTCATATCAAAGATTAGAATGATGTCGTCTGACCTATAGAACAATATTGTCAAATCAAGATGTGGAAATGAACGTTTTAAAATGAATCGAAACCCTGCATCCTAATAGTGTTAGCTTTACATGAAAATTCTAAAATTTGATTGTAATAGTTAAACGTTTAAAAAATAACTACAAGCCTTCAAAACGAGTACATGATATCCAATTCTGACAACATAATATCCTGAAAGTATTTTTATAGAAGACAAATCTACTGCGCTTGTCGATCATCTATTGACTTTTCCATTTGTAGTAAACGTATATTGCTTTACCACCACTTTCACATCTATCCTGTCTGACGCCACCAGGAGTTGGGATCGTAAAGAAACCAATTATCTACAACCGCCAGTTATTTGACAAACCTCTGTTGTGTTAGGTAATGACGGGTAATTTGGTGTAATGAACGTGTTCATCCCTTTTATAACTGCTTGACTTAGAATTCTTTTGATGGTTTTTCGGCCTCATGTCCTAAACCTAGGCTGACTGCAATCTTGTCTCGGGAAACAAGAAGATTAAATTGTTGTTTTGTCGTTAGGATAGGATGATAAGAAACCGATCCGATGCTCAATGTGCTACGGGCTGTGCATGTTAAAGGTTCCTTGATACAGAAAGTTGCAAAAGTAACGGTCCTGGCGAAATCTCTCCAATTCACAAGAGCACACAAGTAGGCGTAAAACATTTTATGTCAGCTGCGATCCGAAGTGCCCCAAATAAAAGTATGTAAAATAGTCATAAAGTTGTTAAACCGTCTATATCTATAAGTATACTTATCATTTTGTGGACCAGGAAGAAGAGATATTGTACTACAATTACGTAGATATAGTAATTATTCAGTGCATAATAATAAGTATGAAAAATAAATTCCCCTTAGTGAAATAACCTATACCTTATAAATATATATCGAGATAAAAATATGTACATCAAATTATACGGTAATAAAAGTCCTATTCAGGCACAAGATAATAAGGAATTATCTACAGAAGTATTAGATACCAAATTATTCAAAAATAACAATATAGATTGTATGAATAGTGTTACTTTCTCTTTGCTGTTTCTGTGTCAGCAAAAAGTGAAACGAGTACAAAGATTTAACTGGGGCCTGGTTACAGCTATTGCTATTTTGCTCTGTCTAGTTTCTCAGAATATTTTTAAATTCTAGCGATTCAAAAATGGATCGAAATGAACTGCCATAAAAGAGATATTAAATGTCTGGCTCTGGCGACGTTAATCCGTACATTGCGTCTGAGGAACTTTACGATCCAGATTTTCCGAGCTATGTTTGAGTCATTTACAGATAACAACTCTTGCGAATGATTGAATGGTTAGTTTACTGTTTCCAGTTGTTTTGATATTATGTGTGCATGTTACCACCCCACTCCAATATTCTTAAATTCCCATGATAATTTTAGATAGATTACACAAGAGTGAGCCTTTTCAACGCAAAAATCCCATACGGTAAAATGTGAACTAAGACTAACATGAAAAATGTATATACATGACAATGGTTGAAGATTAAAATAACTCAGGGTATTAAATGGACATCTGAAGATAAGACGTGGATTACCCTCAATAACCACATCCTAGATTATCTCCAATTTTCAGTTTTTCTACGAAAAAAGGAATGATAAGATGATACAGAGTAAATGAATTAAGCACAGAGTGAAATAAATTCATAGTTTAACACAATGTAATCTGCATGAACGTTTTATTCTTCTAGCACCAAGTTGCTTTAAATGAATTTTTATGATGCAAATGGGACTAAAAACCATAAAATTTTAAAAATGATTCCTTTCTATGTAGTGGATGTGTCATTACGTTGGATTTGAAAAGATCTTAAGCGACATTTATAGGTAGAGTTCACATTAAATAACGGAATACAATTTTATAGTAAGCTGGTAAACTACTCCTTAGTTTTATTGCACACAACGTTTCAACAGTCTACATCACAAGGTGAAAATGATATAGGCCTATGCCAATTAGCTGTCGAGGATAACTATCATTGAAACCCATGTGTATTAATAAATTGTTGCTGCCATTATCAGTTATCATTTGTTATCACCAGTTGCATATGGAAATATGGGATCCCACTAAACTGAATATTTCAAGATATGTCATGAATTGTTGCTGCTATCATTTGTTATCACCAATCCAATATAAAAATATGTTAACTGAATATTGCAAGATATGTCTTCCTGATTGGATTAAAACCAAAGGTTTTAAGGTAGCCTTTTCATGATATAACTCAGACCATTAAACATAACCTGAAATCTTTAAATGTACCCACGTAATATCAAAATGAAGTACTACCATTAAGATGAAAAACATTAACTGATTTAATGAGTCCATGATATTATACGAGTTTACAATATTTAATAATACATGTATATTTAATGTTTGATTATCATTAGATTTTTTAAATATCATAACATATCATATTTTACATTATCATAAACGATAATTCATTCTAATAGATACATTATTATTATAATATATTGACAAAACATTCCACTGACCTGTCCACGGTGTTCTAAAAACCCTTCTAAAAATTTCATACAACTTTTTCTCACATGTGGGGCAGCAGCCATTTTTTAAAAATCCTTGTGATAAAAATTCACAATGTTATCTGAAAAATACGATATTACTGTTGCACTATGTTCTTAGCCAGAAATTAGTCCGACTGGTTGGTTGTCAAACACAAAAGTTTTTGTTGTGAACACGACTTCACCTCGATCCCTAGAAGGAAGTAAATACTAAATTTAGACGGTTGTAAAAACCTTGGGAAAGATAAGTAGATATTATAGTTAAACAGGTAGCGACAGTACATAGTCAATTTCACAACTCAGTGTTAACATTGAATACCTTCAACTTGGTTAAAATATCTACTTTTTACCATGTCTTTTTAACCTGACTTTAACTGTTTTAAGTAACTAATTGAGAAATAGTCGATACACACTGACAATAGTCACAAGAGGATGGCGAAGACTAGCTATCGCTCGTCCTCTTTATTTAGAAACATGGTCGTCAGTCGTTCAAGCGGATCAAAATTATTGTTAAAAATTTATATATTTTGGAGTAAAAATAGACTATAACTTAGTGGCTATAAGAAGAAAATTTACTGTTGGTATTATATGAGGATCAAGACAGGGAGAAATTTGTTATTTTTTGTGATTAGTCAACCAAGTCTCTTATCATCAAGGTCAACGAGTTTGTTCGTCATTGAATTAATTGTTTGGGTGTAAACCCAAGTTTCATTTTCGATGAAACAAGAATTTAAAGATGGCCCCGTTGCAAACTAACAACATGTTTCTAGTTCTGTTGTAATATTTCTATACTATATCTCTGAGCTGTGTATTGAGCAGCACTATTTTAAAAGTTGAAATATGTATTATTGTACTAATATAACGGATGGCTCAGAAAAAACGATAACACTTCTCCATTCAGGATCTGTCCTAAAGCATCAAAGCTATTATCATAATTATAATATCCATATCAATATAAGGTTAAAATGATCATAGTTCTGATGGTTTGTAACAAAAACCTGAAATGAAAAGTGTTATCATAATGTAATGCATATTGTACATGAACTGCGTAATTTTAACCTTAATGGTTTGGTGTGTCAATAAAATCATGCAAATAAAATCATCCATAAATTTGAAGGTTTACAACTACTGTATCTGTTGATTGATGAATGAGGTAACATTCATATTGAACTTTTATTCTCGGTTCAAACAAGTAAGTTTATCAAGGAAACAAATCACACATGAGTTTGTTACGTGCATCTTATTAGAGATATCTCTGTTGACAGATGTTGAATTAAAAAACTGAAACTTTTCAATTTCAAAGCTTCTTATCAAGCAACTCCTCGGTCAGACATTCTCTAGGCCTAAATGGTGGGCAAAGACAGATATACGTACTCACAAAAAATGTTGTAGCCTACAAGTGTACAAGAAAAAATTTATATCCCGTGGAAAACCAATGGCTGAATAGGGGATTTTACATCAGGTGTCAAAAAAAGTTTCGGTGTGCAAGATCTTGTTTATTCTGAACCTGATTGACAAGCGTCTAAAAATGAAGGTTTAGATCAACAGAGATTTCAAACTTGCAACTGAACACTCTTAGCAGTAGCTTGACCTCATTCCTATGACTTCAAATCACAATCAATTCTCTTGCGGTGTTTGTAGGTTCTGATAAATGGATATCTAACTGGCTCTCGGTGCGACAGTGGTCGGCATAAAAAAAAACTGTCGTTTCAGAATATTTCATTGAAGGTTTCCCTTTTTAAAAAGTAAATCAGAATTTCAAGATTTTTATTATTAAACAACAACATAACTACTAATAACAACATAACAATACACATTTCTGTTTAACAAAATTCAGCTTCCAGATATTTGGTTGTTGTATAAAGGTTGTTCAGAATAGCCCAATGAACCATGATCTTTAGCTAATAGGAACAAAATGAAGTGATTTATGACTCTATTATATTTTGAAAAAAAATCGAAATATTGAAAAATAATTTCATGTCTCTTGTTAGTTATGTCAAAGGATGGTGGATAAAGTGGTACATAAGAGGTTTCGCATTATTTCGCATTATAAATGGGTACTAGTTAACAGCGTTTTAATTTTCAGAGCATTTTAGCATTATATTAATTGATACACAGGTGAACAGGTTTATATTTCTAATGCCATTTCTCACTTTAGGTGCAAAAAAGATGAGGAACGATGTACGATGTGACGCCATCATCATTCCGTATGTATTGTATGCATCCAAACCTATTCACACCTTTATAAAATAATGCCGTTATAAAATAACACACTGTTATGCATCTAACAAACAAATCTGTTGAATATTTGTCATTTCTTGTGGTTCGTTATAAAGAACACCATTTCAACACGATTTTAAGGATGTGTGATTTGAACCACAGCGCACAAAATAAGATGAAAAGAACGGTCCGTAAACCATGTACCATGAAGGACGATATTTTGGTTCTTCTGTTGAACATCCCCACACATACATTTCGTCCTTGTGTGTCGTTTCCAGATTAAATTACTTCTACTATGACCCAAAGAAAAATCGTCCTTGAATGTGCACGGTCAGCTACAAAGTTCAGATGAAGGTTATATTTCAAGCAATATGCCCAGCTGTATAAATTTTCACACAAAAATTAACGAGGCTCTCATGAGATATTTACAAACAATGATAGAGATCAAGATTGTTTTCCACTTTTTTGAATACCTGTAAATTATTATCTTTCGTGTTATTTTCATTGTTGATGATACGAAGGGAAGTAATAAACACTGTATAATATCCTACAGAACACAATATTAATTTAATACCGACAAACCAGTAATATATCTCGTGGTTCTTATTATAATATAAGAACTCATCAGACAATTGTACATATATTCAGTTTGGCACTTCCATAAAGAATTCTGAAATGCGCACTATTCACTCTGGCACGATCTGAAAGGTATTGTATTATTATTCGGATGAAATATTTTAAACTATCACTGACGCACGAATGTATTGTTTGAAAATCTACTAATGAAGAATAACTTTCATTTCCATATATTACATTGAACTTCCAAGAACGTTCTCACTGATACAAGCTTTATACACAATATTCAATTCAAAGTTTATTGAATCTGGATGAACCACTGTAATCGTATGATATATTGTCACAATGGTTCAGTTACACGTATTGAAAGATAAGTTTATTGTTCAATAAAGGTTTATTAAGATCTCGATGAACCCCGGACTGTCGTCAGTTCATAGCTATCTGTAGATATAAATGGTGGACTACGAATATAAACAGTGGAGTACTCAGATCTGGTGCTAGCTGAAGAGTACACGAAGCTTCTCTTACCAGTATTATTTTGACTGGGACACAGTTTCAATCCACGAATACATTGCCAATTAGCATTAAATAACAGAAACACAAAAGGGTTCGCAGCGGAATTAGCAGCAGCCATGCTTCCAAGAATTCCATACAGAGCTCCAGATATGATGTGGAAATCTCCAAACGACATAATCATTTCAGCAACAAAATACGGCAAAGCGCAAATAATGTAAGCAGCTACTATAACGACTGTCATTTTCAAGGTTTTTATTTTAGCTTTAGGTAATGACGTATTGGCGGTGCTGGTCAGATGAATCTTGCCTGGTTTAAAACTCTGACGTTTTGAATTCTTACTCTCAGCTGCCTTCTGGGCTATTTTCAGGAATATTCTAATATAACATATAATGAGAATGATCAACGGTAATATGAAGCTAACTATAGCAACATACGTAAGAAAAGCTTGGCGATGAATCATTGGTTTTCCACGGAATGTGTTCTCACACACCATAATCTGTTTGACAGGGTGATAGCGAACGTGGAAGACGAAGAACAATGGTATGGAGGCAACAGCAGCTATTCCCCACCCACAAAGTGACAGCAACCATACCTGTAACAGAGAGGGGAACATTAAGTATGAAATTCAATAATTCAGACTTTGAAGGAAACTTAAGAGAACTTTTCCAAACAGAAAATATATAAAGCTTAGTAAAATCTTAATACGATTTGCTCCGCAAGTGAGTTTGAGGCCTGCTCACTAATCTGAAGGTCAATCCTGGCATAGTTCGAGAGAATACCTTCGGATTTTTCAATCCAGTTTACCCTTGTCAGTGATGCGGGTAAGAGGGGCTGACATGGAAAAAGCGTCTAGTCGTCTAGGCCCCGTGTGTTGCAGGCTGTGCACGTTAACGATCCCTAAAAAAAAAAGCACGCTTATTATGCCGCCGTACTGGCAAAGTTTTCCTTATTGCACCCTGCATGGCGTTGCCCGTCTTCATTAGCCCTCGTGGTGCAGAAAAGTAGGACGTAAAACTCATTCATTTCATTTCATTTCCGCAAGTATCTCTGTGTTTGTAGGTCTGCATAAAATAGTCGTAAAATATTGTACTTACTGGAGTGGGTTCTTTTAAAGGTGATCTGATAGCTTGATGTCGATCAATGGCAATAACAACCAACATATTATTACTAGCAAACAATGAAAATGACATACAGAATTTATACGTTTTACACATAAAATCCCCGGCGAGCCACTCACGTTCCATGTGTTCCCAAACTAGCTGTGGTAAACATGCCACAAATACCACTAACATATCTGCTAAACACAGGTTAAATATAAGGGCGTTAACTCTAGATCTGTGCTTCCGGTTATACCACATCCACAAGCAGACTAGAAGACCGCCTATCGTCCCAAAAATAATCACTAAATATAAACACACTTTACGGATCATGAAATCATAAGTTATATCATGCACATTGTCCGGATATATTGTACTGTTGATTTCCGAGGTTGTGTTTCCGGAAACCATACTTGATGTGGTTTGAACGACCATTTTGTTAAAGCTGCTGGTATTTTCTGATATGTATACTCTTGCTGGATTAGAATTATTTGCCATTTTCTTGTTTATATTGTGTCAGTTGTTTCACGGGGCCTGAAATGAAAAGAAAGATAGCATTATATTTATGAATTACATAGGCTAATTATAATATAGTGTAAAAGTCGTTCAATCATCTCACTTGCTCATATGAGGCGGAAGCATTCCCACCTAGTTTTAAAAAAAATTAGTTAAATCAGGAGTTAGTGCAAACAATATTCTGCATAAGAAGATTTGACCGTTTGAATGCACGAACATACACCTAAAGACCTTCTAATTTTATGCGCAAAACTGAACACGTGTATTTCATTTGATCTCCAATTGCACCGAAGAACATACAATTTATTTCAGAACTTAAACTTGTAAAGAAGGGTTTGCTAGTATTAAGTTCATCCTCCCGCTAATTATTATCAGAAAATATACACAAGCTTGAAAACTCTAAACATTCTGTAAAACACTATTATTACACGACAATCTTCTATATACTTAAAAAAGCACATGTAAACTATTAAAATGTTGTTTATGAGCTATCTTTTTCTTTCACTAGGAGGATTTTCTATTATATAACAGATTTAGTGTCACGAATTTAATATAACAACAGAATTTTATATTTAATAGTCCAGGGTGAAAATAAGTTCGATAAAACCATAGTTTTATTTGTCTGCAAGATTTGTAGATTTCATTGTTAATTTTACAAAGGCTGTTTACAGTGTATAACCAAATCAAAGAGTTCAGTAGCAGTAGCAGACACCAAGTCACTTCAGTCTTCCATGTATTCATGAAAATCGAACCATTTTCCACAAAATAATGAAAGATTTCTCGAAAACATTTCAATTTTCCGATTTTGTTTGATGTTCTCGGGATATTTACTTTTCATATAAATTTAATTTAGTTACACAAAACTCCGTTTACGTTAACTAGATATCATTGAAGACGATTTTTCTAACATTATTTTTTTAATTTCATAATCTCACCAAAGTGTTCTGAGACTGTTTTCACTAACTAAAAGTGATCGTCGTGATTGAAATGTTTTAAAAGCATCCTTATCGTTACTATGAAAGAAGACGTTGAGAAAAGTTGTACATTCACAGAATTCTCATTCTAATACCAAGTCGAGGCCACGGGATTTGATATATGATCACTGTATATATGTAATAAAGAATTTTAATTTTGTTTTTTACTCTTGAGCACCAGAAATACTTCATTTCATCTTAATCAACCATTTTCGCCATTCTTTGTTTTGTAAATGTTGTAAATTTTGTAAATGTAAAATTTCCTATGAATTTAAATCATATACAGTGACATATTCTTTGAAGGTTTCAGTGCCATTAAATTTAACAGAGATGTCAAAATCCAGCATTACATTTGTTTTTGAACGTCGTTGGTTAACATTGGAGAAACCCCACATCCGACATATTATTCATATCAATATACTGCTTGTCAATACTATATTTATAATAAACTGATTTGAATTGGAAGAGATGGCCTAATATCTTCCTTCCAGTCAATCTGCTCTGGAAATAACTAACTAGATCAAAAAGAAGCATTCTACCATCAGCGATACCTTGTTCAGATTTGCCTATCCAAATTAGGAAATCTAAATTAAAGTAAGTGTTTCATCAACATATTACGAGGATTACAAAACTAAATCTTTTTAAAGATAGCTATATCCTATGTAGATTGTCGAGCTGTGATATTGCACCCTTGTGTGTTCAGTACTAATAGGGGTAATTTTTGATGTCTCATTTCTAGAAACTAGTTTGTGGTAGCAGATTATGTTAGCTTCCCAACAATTTACAGCAAAAGTTTACAGTCCCATTTTTGTTTGTAAACGCAATATTATCAAAACTGCGGTATGAAAATGTCCCTCTTTCTAGAAAAAAACGAATTGTACTTTGTATTTCTGGTACAGTCTTGACGTATGTATTCTTTTTATATAAACATAATATAATAACTAAAATATAATTGCTCTCAGACCAATCGATTCAACGAAACAGCTTTGATCTATTTTGTTTTAACTGCAGCGAGGAAGTTCTACAGCCAAAACATAAAATATATTTAATGGATATCTATTAGTCCGAAGCTCACAGACTCAAACTGGCCTCTGAAGGTTGACAATAAGAATGTAAATGATGATGTTATGTGAATTTTCAATTAGATAAGAACATACGAGTGTGGTACAAAATTCAAACCTCAAAAATATTATTTATCGCTTTTCTGGAACTAAAAAATAAGAGAATACAAAAATGTGGGTTGACAGATGCCACTGAATTCGACAATAATTCATTGATTGTTTAGCTGTTTGTACTGTTAAAGGCCTGAACATACAGAGCACGGTTTACGGTTGCGGCTTGCGGAACCGGAAAGCGGTGTTTCTATTTTGTCTTTCTAATAGGTTCCAGTAGAAGGATGCAAACCATACAATTTTATACGCCCACATGAAACGGGGCGTATATTGTCGTCACCCATGTCCGTCCGTCCGTCCGTCGGTCCGTCCACGATATTGCTCGTAAACACTTTCGACGAAACTCGGTATGGTTGTTTGTAATCACCCAAGTATGAACCCTATTGGAAATCAGAAAAAACGCTCGTAAACACTACAGAAGGCGCTTCTAGAATTAATTTGTAAGTTATCCATCACAGTTACTCTTTGTATCGTGTTTGCAACTTTCAATTTGTGTGTGGCCACGGATCACACTAAAAGATCAATTGGGTTAAATTTGAATGTAGTTTAATGATTAGAAACTGGCTGCAGATTGGCTAAGGCTTATCCGGCATTGCGGTTACGGTACGAAAATTCGCCCTGGAGGCATTCACTGTGGCGCGGAGTCTGGTCTCTGCACTAGATGCTGCGGTGACCGGATTGTGTATGAATGAATATGTGCAAACACCTTAAACGCACGACGGACGCCGCACCGCAAACTGTACTCAGGCCTTTTCAAAAGGTCATGGATAATAAAGATAAAGAAATATGATCAAATGCCTTTAGAGTTCTGGAAACAACCGCACACATTTCAACTATTGCTATTGCTTAGATATTGCTAAAATGTGAGTCAGTAGTTTCGGACTAGGTTTCCGTATTGCAAACAGAAACATGTTTCTTTTTGCCGTCAAATTTCAATATTTCTTTAGTATGTTGCTGTTATTGTACACGCAGAAAGGAAGGAAAGTAGACGAAAATAGTCTAATTAAACACAAATATAATGGTGATAATGTTCAAGTGTTGAGATGTTTATTTTAAATCTCAATGACAAATTAATTCCATTAACCCGACGTCTTCATCAGAAAACATATTTTTGCTCATTTTAGGTTCTAGATCAGATAAGCATTGAAAAAATCAACCAAGATAATTCTTTTTTCCAAAACATCAGATTATGTAGGCTTCTGTAAGCTTTCTTCACTCCTTTTTAACCAATTAACTCGAAGAAAGACGTTGCATAAACCACTCGGTATTACTCTTCGGAACGTCAAAACCCTTTTCGAAATCTACCACAGAGCTGGTTGGAAATCAACAGACATCAACACGAAGCCACATAAACTACACGACTAAAGTATATGAGGTTACTAAAAGATGAGGCTGTGGCAATGACGAGACACGAGTTTTTATTTTCAAATAGACCAGTTTATAGGCTTCCACATTTATGATATATAATTCAACATATAGTTTAGTGGACATTAACTTGTCATCAACTACCACCATCAGCCATATAGTCTAGATAGAACATTCTTTGTTGAAATAATGACCAATGTACGACCTCTGGTTTTCAAAATTTAATCAAGCCACTCAGATCATATTTTATAGTCAAATTACTCAAATATGCTTTTAAGGTACTAATATTCGAAAAGCTTAGAGTTCAACGTTTCAAAAATAGTAACTCATGGGCTTGAGGTAATGATTGATGTGTTCGCTTGAGGTAAAAACATCATGAGCTCAAGATGACAATTTTTAAGTTGGTAATACATTAGATTACATGTCATGGACTCGAGATACTAAGTCATTCACTTGATGTATGTTAGTCATGATGGGATTGTGGTAATAAAGCATGTACTGGAGATTTTAAGGCATGGGTTCGGGACTGGCAACATCAAGTATTAGGTAAGCGGCTACTCATTTTTCTGTAGCAAGATCAACATTTGTATTTTAAATGAACAATATATATATATCGTTTATACAATGAGAGTCATGGTTGAAAAATGCAGTTCCTCTGGAGTATACATAACAAACGTAAGCGACAATCTAAAATAAGATAGGTTAATTACGTTTGAATTAAATATTGAGTCATAAATAGAGATAACAAAGGCATTTGGAATTTAATTGAGAGCACCAATGAGACTCGAAGACATTTGTAATGCGGTAGAACTTAAAATTCATATTAAATGATCACACGCCTAATCAAATTTCACTGATAGTTTTGAATCCTCCAGCAACTATCTCATCTAATATTTTATATCCAAGGCCACAGTTAACGGAAAATGTTGGATGGAATTTCGCGAAGATGCAAACTTAAAATAGGTTGCTTAATGAAAAAAACCCAATTGCTAAAATAATGAAATTCCATTACAAAAAGCAATATTATTGCATTTATAAATCCTAGTTTTCGCACTGTATAGGTCTGACAAAATCTATATAAGAAAGATGTAGCTTTGCGTAATAAGATCTATGTAAGATTATATGCTTGATTGTAAATACTCCAAAACTTTTCATTTTAGAATTCTCTTTGATTCTGTGTTTTGTTACTTACTCCTTCTAAATCTCTACTTCAAATATATATGCTCTTTTAATCCGCATTTCGTCATAGAATACTCTTCAAACCACCACTTACCAATAATGCAATAAGTCTGCTTACTGTTTTGTC